TAAAACTCTCACCATCTTCCTCTGAAATCACTGGAAATGGGAAAGTTACCATGAGGAAGACTGCTAGCAAAGCCAAGCCTGTCTCTTCTGGTAGCCCATGGTACGGTCCTGATCGTGTCAAGTACTTGGGTCCATTTTCTGGTGAGGCCCCAAGTTACTTGACCGGTGAGTTCCCTGGTGACTATGGATGGGACACTGCCGGACTTTCAGCTGATCCAGAAACTTTCGCCAAGAACCGTGAGTTGGAGGTGATCCACTGCAGATGGGCTATGCTCGGAGCTCTTGGTTGTGTCTTCCCCGAGCTTTTGGCACGTAACGGTGTCAAGTTCGGTGAAGCTGTATGGTTCAAGGCTGGATCCCAAATTTTCAGCGAGGGTGGACTTGACTACTTGGGCAACCCAAGTTTGGTCCACGCACAAAGCATCTTAGCCATCTGGGCTTGCCAAGTGGTGTTGATGGGAGCCGTTGAGGGTTACCGTATTGCTGGTGGGCCTCTTGGTGAGGTTGTTGATCCACTTTACCCCGGTGGTAGTTTCGACCCATTGGGTCTTGCTGATGACCCGGAGGCTTTTGCTGAACTCAAGGTAAAAGAAATCAAGAATGGTAGACTTGCAATGTTCTCCATGTTTGGATTCTTTGTTCAAGCTATCGTTACTGGAAAGGGTCCATTGGAAAACCTTGCCGATCACCTTGCTGATCCAGTAAACAATAATGCTTGGGCTTATGCTACAAACTTTGTCCCAGGGAAGTGAACTTAAAAAAGAGTCTTGTTCTATTAGGTGATTGTTTGATGGCCTTGTAAAGCTATTGTGAATTACAGGAAATTATATATGAATTTGTTTTGTCTCCAGTATATAGTTGTGTTTTTCTCAGTTACATTTTCCTTTCATAAATCATATACAAGTTAAAAGGAGGAAAATGGCTCCCAAGTTACTAAGGCATAAGCCTTGGAACAAAGATAATAGCAGAACTGGTTTCCTTAGGTAGAAACAAGGAATTTGCAGAGCAGAGCAAACTTAAATTGAAATTTAAATCTAAAACAACATAGTTAGTTTTCTTATTCTCCTACTTTTCTAATTGGCATTCAGAGTATTATTTGTCGGAATAATTCAGAATGACATATAGAAAGTTTTAAAATTTAGTCAATACAAATGATTTCTGGAATGTCATTGCAAAGAGAACAGCTCCAAATTTCTTATAAGCAGAATTATCGACTCTCCAAATCTAGAGTTATCTTACCCATAATTGACTCCCTAAATAAAATAAGGATTTTTACCTTGCTATACATTATTTAAAACTTTATTATCCTCCCTAATCAAATTTTAATTTATTTACATAGACATATACTATTTACCAATTATATACACTTTAGGATTTTAAATAAGTATCCTTTTATATTAGGAATTGAATAAAGAATCAATTATTTCTCATCCTTATTTTCTCTCCCTCCGGCGCTCTTTCTCTCCGTCTCTCTCTCTCCTGTGCTCTTTCTCTCCCGCTCTCCGTCACTCTCAGTCTCTCAGTCTCTCATTCTTTGTTCTTTCCCCAATTTTTCTTCCTCTAATGTCCTCTATTTTTTATCCTTTCATGTTGTATATATTTTTAATGGAATTATCAATGAATTTCAATCGTTCTACTATAGAGTTTTAACTTTGCAATTTCCTTTCATGTTGCACGATTGATGTTCGAATTGAAATTGTCAATCAATAAATTTTGAAGGTGTTTGACTCTCCACCATTGACAGC